TGTCATGTTCAGGGACTGTGGGAGTCAGCAGAAGACATCACATCCTGTGGGACTTGAGTTAAGAGAAGCCTATGAGTTGCTTGTGGATGCTGGGAATCGATCCTGGGTCCTCTGCAGGCGTAGCCAGTGCTCTTAACCTCTGAATCATCTTTCCAGTACTTTCTTTTCCTTTTTTTTTTCTTAACTAAGTCATATCCTAAAGTAACATAACTTTACACCCCTCTCTTCATTTTTGTATTCTAAACATTAAACACACACGCATGCACACACATGTACATACCCAACACTGAAAATGCTTTTTAAAGGAAAAATTCCTTAGCCTGTAAATATACGCACTTATGTATAATGTGACTTTTATTATATTTCAGACCCAAGGAGAGAATGGAAACTGTGGAAAGTATGGGAAGGTTATACCAGCAAGTGCTGTCATATTCGGGACGGCAGTAGAGTGTGCGGAGATACGAAGACATCATAGGTGAGTGGTGAGAGAAACACTCTAAGCCGGGTGGTGGCGCTGCACACCTGTGTTCTCACCACTGGCTGGGCAGGCGAAGCAGAGGCAGGCCAATCTCTGAGTTTGAGACCAGCCTGATTTACAGAACAAGTTCCCATACACAGAGAAACCGTGTCTTGAAAAGCTCTTCCACTGCCACCCCCCCCCCCCAAAAAAAAAGTAAGAACACGATTTCACAGGCTTAGTACATGTTTGTAATGTTTAGTCTTATTTTAAGTAGAATTCCGGGATCAAAACCAGCTTTATTTTCATACAGCTTACTGTGTGAGAGGTTTGTGTAGGAAAATATTTAAGTTGAGATTGATTTTAGTTGAAGTTCAAGTAAGAATTTCCAATATGAAGATAAATTTTAATATTGTTTTTCTTGGTAACTTCATTAATGCAATGATTGGGCAGAAATTTTAAATCATCAAAGAAGTATCCTTCCTGCGTAAAGGTAACATAAAAATATTGTTGGAAGTGTTGATGAAGAAAAGAGAGAAAGAAAATCACTCTGAACTGATCACCAGTAAATAGCTACTTCTTGTCTTTGCTGCGAGTTATTCCTTAGTCTTTTCGTTCCCTGTTACAGGGTGATGATAGAAAGGGTTAGTTTGGTAGGCACAGGATACACACCAGACAGATGGGCCTCCGTTAACCAAGTTGGTTGAATGAGAGACAGTGTACTGGTTGACTATCAGCTCTGTGTATGTAAATGTCTCTGTGTGGTAATTTAATTCATTTAAGAATATCAATAAATATAGTTGTGTGAGGCAGTATCCTCAACCCTTTCTACTGATTGTTTTGTGGGTTGTGTGTGGTCGTATTGTGACTTTCACCTTATTGTTCTCATGAGCACTCAAATTCATATTTTGCTTTGTCTATTCTTGTTTTCTGTTAACTTGTTGGAATTCAAAAGTATATTTTGAATATGAATCATTTGAATATATGTTCTAAATATTTTCTTTTTTCAAAGTTTTAAAATTTTTATTTCTGCATTGTGTTTGTGTGTGTGCCGTGTGTGTGTGGTGTCTGTGAAGGCTCTAAGAGGGTGTTACATCTTCTGCAGCTGGAGTTGTAGGTGGTTGAGAGATGGCATATGTGTGATCTGGAACCCACTAAACAGTCTGTCCATTTCACAAAGGTGTTAATTTTAATATAGACTTATGTATCAATTTTTTTATGTGATTATGTATATAATTAAATCTATGATCATGAGTTCTTAATTCATTTTTATGTTTATATTTTCTTGGCTATTAGATAATGATATTTGATAATTTATGAAACCTGTGTTACCTTTTCTTTTTACTAGAGTGAGTGCTAAGGACATTGCTGGTATCTGTTTGCCAACAAATGTGAAATTTCAGAGCCCAGCTTATTCTTGGGTAGATACTGAAGAAACAGTTGAACCGTACACCACTGAGAAGATGAGTCGTATTCCTGGAGGATATCTGCCTTTGACAGATCCCTTCCAGATTATGAAAGTTGATTTCAACAGTCTTCAGGTAAAACAAGAAGTTTACTTTTTACTTTTTTTTTCCCCAGTAAGGGTTTCTCTGTGTAGCTCTGGCTGTCGTGGACCTCGCTCTGTAGACCAGGCTTGTCTTGAACTAAGAGGTCCACCTGCCTCTGCCTCCAGAGTACTGGGACTAAAGGCACATGCCACCACTGACAACTATGCTTGGCTTTGTCTTACTTTTTGAATGTACATGAAGTTCTCCTTAGAAAGAATGATTAGCAGCAAGTTAAAAGTCCAGTGAAAGTGTTCCTTTTCAGTGTAAAGAAAGCTCCCTAGGGTTTGTTGAGAGGGTACTTGTGTGCCTTACATAAGCACAGTGACAGCAGAAGGAAGGTCATGTGTGAGCTCCTCAGATGAACTGCTTGCAGTAATAAGTTCTGCCAAGTTATTAAGTATGTAAGCACAGGGGCAAAAGTTCCAGCCCAGGTCTTTACTTTTCTCTTCGTCATGCTGTCTTCTCAAATTAATGATTTTCCTTGATAAGAATAATAATCTAAGCCCATTAAATCTAATTAAATCTAATCTAATTTAATCTAAATTTAAATAAATTAAAATTGTTAGGGTAGTGGTTCTCAACCTGTGGGTTGCAACCCTTTAGGGGTTGTCAAATGACCCTTTCACAGCAGTTACTTAAGACCATTGACAGGTACTCACATTACAGTTCATAACAATAGCAGAATTACAGTTATGAAGTAGTAGCAAAAATAATTTTATGGTTGGGGTCATCACAGCATAAGGAACTGTATTAAAGGGTCACAGCATTAGGAATGCTGAGAACCTCTGTTTTAGGGAAATACCATCTCATTTCACCAAGGGTTGACGGATTATTGAGATAGAGAACATTTAGGTCTTTTGTCTTGGGATGCTAGGCCTTGGACCTAGAAGCTGGACATGCTGGTCACGCCTCTGCACCACTCGGCTACACTTCCAGCTTAGGGTTTGCCTTTTAAAACCAGAGCAGGCCTGAGTGAGGCTGATAGGCTGATCATTCTAGTTTGTATATTTTTGTATTAGTGAATGACAGGAAGATGTGTGGATAAATGGCCCAAAGATCCCAGGATCTTTTAAATAAAATCCCTGTTTAATGTCTTGTAGAAAGAAGAGCATTTTTGTACAAATGTTTAAATGCTTCTTCTGTGGGGTAGGGGTGTCGTAGACTGTGAAAGAGGCTATTTTAGCTAGAGTGTTTAAAAACACAGCAGATGCTTCCCCTTTGACTTGCCTTCTCTTGGGGTGGTCTGCAGCTGTTTTAGGTTTGCTTTTGTGGATGCTGAGCAGTCCTGTGTTTTGAGGTCATTCCTGACCAGACACAGTGTTCCAGGAGTAATGGGACCTTACAGCTGTTCTTTTAATAGTTTTTGTTTGAATTTTTTCTTATACTACAGACACCCTGTAATAGGTTTTAGTTTTAAAAATGATATGTGCCTGTTTAACACTTTCAAGGAGAAAGCCCCAGTATTACCTTTTAAAAATGTTACCTCCTTTGCCTGCATCACTTTTTTGAAGTGTGTCGTTCCGGGCTTGCTTTTTTTCTGTATGCATGCAGAATAAAAAAGGTTCCGTTGCTTTGCTGCATGCGTTTGTCATTCAGCACTATGTCCCTGGTGTTTTTTTATCAGTAGTGTGTGTATGTATCTGCTATGTGTCTAGTAGTTGCGTGATATTCTTTGATTCACTAACTGCAGGAGAGGACTGAGCTTGGAAGAGGGGCTGTGGTGTGAAATTGAGGGAACTCAGTCAATTTTACAGTCAAGTTATAAAGCCTTCTCATTCTTTTTATTATTTAAATTATTTTTGGCTTCTTAAGTTTCCTAACCTCTGTTTTCTCATTCTGTTTACATTTCTTTTCAGGAATTAAAAAGTCTTGCAACTAGAAAGCCACATCCTCTTACTGTTCCTGCTGTTAAAGAAGGCGTGCTGGATGCTATTATGGTTTGGTTTGTTCTCCAGCTTGATGATGAACACAGTTTGTCCACAAGTCCTTGTGAGGAAACTTGTTGGGAACAGGCTGTTTATCCAGTACAGGCCCTTGCAGGTAAGTATTGTATCATTAAAAACATTTTAGGGGCTGGACAGATGTGGTTAAGAGCACTGGCTGTTCTTCCAGACTTCAGTTCCCTGCATCGACATGGCAGCTCAGAACAGGCTACATCCATAGTCCCATCCAGTGGCCTCTCCTAATGTGCAGGCATACACGCAGACAAGACATCCTTATACATTTAAAAAATGTATAAATAAATACATTAAAAAAATTTTAAAGCAAACCTCTCACCACCAAACCAATCAAATAAACAAATTTTTTGCTTTAATCAAGTAATTAATTGTCAGTGGCCAAAAAGAAAAAAACATAGTTTCTTTGGAGATGAAGTTTTTACAAAAGAGGTGTTATTTAAATAGTTCAGAATTATAAATTTCTTGTTCAAAAGAAAATTTAAATGGCAAGTGTGTAGATAAGGGAGATTAAGGCCAGCTGTGGTATGGCATGCTGTTAATCACAGCACTGTCAAAGAATTGGGAGGTAGGCACATCTCTGGGAATGTGCACATCTCAAGGCCATCCTGGTCTACATAGCAAGGGCGAGGCTGACCAGGGCTACATATTGAGACCCAGTCTCAAAAAATAATAAGAGAGATTAAATCATTCCCCTGGAAAGTGGGGAGAGGAGCTAAGAGTTCCTGGAGGTGAAATTGAAAGTACATATGATCAAGATGTGTTTATGTGTATGAAAGTATCAGAGTAAATAAAAACATTCTATTAAAAACAAAAATACTGTGCCCTGTGTCATATATCCTTAATCCCAGCACTCTGGAAGCATCTGGGGTTAACCAGGGTTACATAGTGAATTAAATATTTTAAATATTTATCTACAAATTTCAAATAAAAATTTCAAAATTACTGCATGTTCCTCAGCTATAACTATCAAATTAATCATTTGATAGTTTCACTTGCTAGGTATCAGTAGATGAAAGAAATACTGCTTTAAAAAAAGTAAAAATGAAACACTTCATGAGCTTGCCTGTCATCCTTGCTCAGAAATTATGCTATTCTTCTCAGTTTTATTCTAATATTAGTATAAGTGCTTCTGAAGTGACTCCTTCATTTTCTTTTTTTTTAAACAAAAATGCCTCCATAAGTTGGGGCTGTAGTTAAGTCTGTGGAGTATTTCATAATTAGTAATTGATGGGGGGTGGGGGGGTGCCATCCCTTGTTCTGGTAGTTCTGGATTCTGTAAGAAAGTAGTTGAGCCAGATGGTGGTGGTATGTATCTTTAAGTACTTGGGATGCAGAGGCAGGTGGATCTATATGAGTTAGAGGCCAGCCTGGTCTACAGAGCTAGTTTCAGGACAGCCAGGGCTACACAAAGAAACAGTCTCAAAAAAAAAAAAGTCAGTTGAGGAAGGAGCAAGCTAGTAAAGCAGCACCCCTCCATGGCCTCCGCATCAGCTCCTGCTTCCAGGTTCTACCCTGACTTCCTTTAATGGTGGACGATGATGCTTTTGGTCTTGGTGTTTATTTCAGCAATAGAAACCCCAAGACAATCAGTTCCATACACATGTACCTACATACATACATATGTATATTTTATTCCTTCCCTTTTTTTTTTATACTGATGAAGACTACTGGATAAAGCCTGGGGACAGTGTGACAATGGAAGCATCTTGTCAAGACTGTTACTTAAGAATCCAGAGTATCAATATCTTGCATCTGGAACATGAAATGGAAGTTATGAAAAGTTTTACGAAGAGTAAAGACTTGTTCTCTCTAGGAAATGAGGCTGAACTCTGTAGTGCCCTGGCTAACCTTCAGACCAGTAGACCAGATGCTCTGGAGCAGACCTGTGTGTTAGAGCCCACAGAGATTGCTTTGCTCAATAACATTCCATATCATGAAGCCTTTAAGATGGCAATGAGGAAGGTGTTGTCTTCACTGGCTCCAGAGAAGCTGTGTCAGCCCATGGATGCTCACTGTCAGGATATTGAAATGAACTCTGGGAGTGGACAGAGTGACAGTGCACTGAGCACCACTGACCCTTTCTATGTGCTGGATGTGTCTGAAGGCTTCTCTCTTTTGCCTATACTTGCTGGAACACTTGGTCAGGTTAAACCCTACAGTTCTGTGGAGAAAGACCAGCATTGTATTGCTTTGGACCTCATATCTGAAGCCAATCACTTCCCTAAGGAAACACTTGAGTTTTGGCTGAGACATATAGAGGATGAAGCTGCTGTGCTGCAAAGGCCCAAATCAGACAAATTATGGAGCATAATTATATTAGATGTCATTGAGCCATCTGGACTCATTCAGCAGGAAATAATGGAAAAAGCTGCTATATCCAGGTAAAACAAAAAACATAAATTTTGAGTGGGGGAGTTTGAGTTAAAAATTTACTAAGATTTTTTTCTTTTTTGGTTGTTGTTTTGTTTTTTAATTTTGTGAGCAATAGGGTTGAGCTGAATGTCTAACCATACCTGACTAACTGCCTAACCATACCTGACATCAGAATTTGCTCTGATGAGGGCATCTAGGCAGTTTTGGGGTAGAGGCTGTTGGTTGTCAGGTTAGACTGTGGTTAACAGTTTAGACCTTTTCTCTCTTGCAGCTTAGTTAATCACCAATAACTAAATGAATCTTCACAAAAGCTATGAATGAAAAGTTCACAAGCTTTCCAGAGTGGGTGAGCACATCGAATGTGGGAGAGTAACATGCCTCAAGATTGGGGGTGGGGAGGCTCTGAGTGTCCTCCCATAGAAAGCTGTTTCTTCCTCTAACCCCCTTTTTGCTACAACGGTCCTGATGATAGCTATACAGGGATTTACCCCACACACCAAGCAGTTACTTTTGCAGCAGACACCAACTGGTGTTCTTAAATTCAGTTCGGTTCTGTTACTGTTGTCTGGAGATAGAGGCAGAACCTAGAGGACAGTTACCAACTTCAAAAGTCAGGTGCATATTGTAGGTTTTCATCTATACTTCTAAACCACCAGATTAACATCAAAGGTTCCCATCAATTTATACAACCCTCTTCAGATTTAGTTGGATTTGCTATAGCAGCTCACAAGACTTAGGAAAATTCTTGGTTTAGCTTAACCTATTTGTTATAGGGGGTGCAGATGAGGAACCAGAAGCAGAGCTGTATGGGGCAAGGTGCATGGAAAGCTACAGAATGTCCACGTCTTTCCAGACTTACTGTGTAGGCATCTTCACATGCTGAGCTGCACAGGAGCTCTGAATTCTGTCCCTTTGGATTGTCATGAGCTTCATTGTGTGTATGGGTATCACTGGGTATTGGTGATAATTTAACCTGGCATTGAAGCCAGGCAGGGGAAGAAGACAGAAAGGCCAAGTCCTCTAGTCACTCCTTATTCTTTCTGGCGAACAAGCCTGGGACTCTAGGAGTCCCTAGCCCCTGGGATAGCCTTGGTATATGAAAGATATACTTAATATTCCTTTGACTTTGAGAAGACTCCTGTTTTAGGAGCTTTGTGCTAAAAATAACAAATAACAAAACAACAGAAAAGCAGGCTAAGGATCAAATATAGTGTTAGTGTAGACACCACTGCCCTGTGTGTATTCTCTGATGGCCGCTTCTGAATGAGTTTGTTGTCTTTTACATTTTTTTTAGATTTATCTATTTTAAGTGTGTTTTGTGTGCGTGTGTGAATATCCACCACATGCATGGCTGGTGCCCAGAGAGCTCAGAAGAGGATGTTGGATTCCCCGGAACTGGACTTACAGACGGTTCTGAACCACCGTGTGGGTGCTAGGATTGAATTTGGGTCCTCTGCAAGAGCAACATGCTCTTAACAGCTGAGCTATCTTTCCAGCTTCCCGTTTCTGAGTGTTAACTCCTTTGTAGTGAGCGTCGAGGTAATGCATTTTTCTTAGTTCTGTGAACCACGTTAGCACATTATCAAAAGACGTCCCCTTTGAGGAGGGAGTTGTGTGAATACCACATGTCCATTAGTGGTTGTGCTATTCTGAAGTGGGCCACTCATGTGGGACTGAACCCCCTTAGCTTGTGTGATATGAGTACATAGTTAGAATGGAGGAATCATAAGCTACTCAGCTGACAGTGGAGAATTAATTTATTGGCTGTATTTTGGAGAAAGCCTCTTTTCAGTTTGGCGTGAGAAGTTTTAATAAATATTGAAAAGCACTTGTTAGGGTAAGAGTCAAGTTTATGGGCTGGGGCTGTGGTCCAGTTGTGGTGAGCCTGCTCTGTATCCTCAGTGTACTACAAAGAGAAACCTAGTATGATGTCAGTGCCTGCTAAGGAATAACAGTCAAATAACAATTTAGTGTGCATTGTTACAATTCTGAGAACTTTTTTTTGAGCTTCAAATTTTGCGAAGTTAAAAAATGTAAATTGACAGAAAATTAACAAGTAAATAGGTTAATCTCATAATAGCTTACAAGCTGATAGGAAGGGTTTTGTTGAGCTGTGTCTCTTTGTTAAGAGTTAAGTCATTTTGCTAATTGAGATTGATTACTGACTTTCTCAAGTTGTTACAAATAGCATAGGATGAGCATACGATGAACAAACATCATAGGATCAGCATAGGAGCAGCAGCATAGGATCAGCAAATCACAGACAGCTCCTAAGCTGTAAAGCATCAGATTGGTAAGGGAAAGTCATCAATTTTTACTCACTGTGTAAGCACATGATCGGATAAGCTTAGAGTAAGTCCTATGTACATGGTTCAATGTAAAAATGGATGTTGCCCTGACTTAGTGCTTCACTCGTTCTTGTTATTGTTTCTAATACTGAGTGTTGAATGTCTTCCTCATTTGCTCCTCACCTTGTTCCAGTAGGGTCTGTAAATAAACACACAGTTTGCTGATTTGGCTAGTCTAATTCTTGAACTTGCCTTGAGCATTCCATTTCTGCCCCCTCAGTGAGTGCTGGTATTGCAGACAGGCTGCTAGGTTACCTGGGTGCCACAGATCTAAGCTCTGTCCTCCATTTAGCCTGCAAGTACCGTATCCACTGAATTGTCTCCCTAGCCCCTAAGTCTTAATGATCTATTTAGGGAAGCTACATAGCAACAGTTTAAACATTTATGCATATTATCTTTTAAGTATGTATAAACTGGGCATATGGCTAGTCTTTTTTTTTTTTTTTTTTTTTAAAGTAAATCCTTACATGTTGAACTCAAGATGATATAGTGTCCACCTCTGTCGTCCCTGCCCTGGAAGTTGAAGTAGAAGATATCTCAGAATACTCAGTAAATACAAGGTTCGATGTTTGAAAATATGATGGACAGGATACTTTCATTTGATCCTAAAGACTTTACTCTGTCTTCTGTTTCTTGTAGAGGAATTTTAATTCTGAACATGGCTGCTCTGGCAAGAGATCACATCCAATGACCTAGGTCTGTGTGATTCAGCTAATAAACCAGTGAGTTGAGAGGAGTTGAGTTTGTGACAGTTGAATTTGTGGAGTTCAGAGGCAGTTTTTATAGGGACAGTTTTACAGGGAGAGATTGAAGAGAGAACAAGTTGAGCACAAGTGAAGACAAAATGGTGAAGACAGAATGAGCCAGAAGATTAGAACAGATTGCTAGAGTTAGTTTAGGCCAAGCAGAGCAATTCGGTGAGAAGCCAGATTGAATCAGTCAGCTTGGAGAGGAGTTTGAGCCAGAACAGCTGAGTTGAACCAGCCAGCCAGAGCTCAGAAAAAAACTAGAAAGGATGAGCTCATTCAGCAGTAAGTCTCAGAGGCTGAACGTATTCTAGGCCCAGATTAGATTGTAGGAGGCTAGAAGCTTCCAGGAGTAGGCCTAGGTTAGCAGATGGAGGCAGTAAGCCTCCGAGATGACAATTATAACAGGAAAATAAACTTACTATAAAAATTTCTGCTTCATTTCATGACTCAGGTATGAAAAACAATACTCCATGATAGTCTAATTACCTTATTAACTCATACAGGAACTGATTCTGTCTTGACATACTCTCCAAATTCTTGTTATAGGAACACTTGGTGCTCCATATGCAGGGAATGCCAGCTTCCCACCAGGCACTTCTCTTCTGCTCACAATTCTCTGCAGGTGCAGCCTGCTTAAGAAACTTTAATAACCACATGCAGTATTGTTAC